AAGGCATTCATTGTCGTCTCCGTTTTTGATTTTGATTCGCGACGCATTTATGCATGGGCCAACTTGCAAAATGGCTACCGTGCCACAATGAAAAAACTTTTCATCATCCAAGTGTCCCGAACAGCTTACGTTCTTGGAACCCTGGAATCCTAATTGAATGTTCTGGTTTTCAGCGTTCTTTATCAGGCTTTACTGTTATTGTGCCTCACAGATATACTGTTTAACCATTAATTTGCTCGTACGCCATTCAAGATCTGTGCAAAAATTATGTTAATGGTCCCATAGTGTTGTACAATTGATTCAGGTTTGAATTTCAGTCAATGAAGGGCAACATTGATTGGCTTTCATTCAAGAGATTGAATTTTTTTATTCATTTAAATATTTCCCAACCAATTATTGTTGTCAAGAAGCTTTTTTTTATAATGCAAACGCCAAAGACCTTGTGGGACCCGCGGGAAACGCATCCTAGCTTTCTCTAGCAGCATGGAGTCGGGCCACAGAACTGGACCATATCGCTTTTTGGTGAATCCTGTCTGGGACCAGCCACACACGATGTCACGGGCGCCTTTTTTTCCGTAAAAATGCGAGGGCCGCGTGAACTGCGCAAGATTTCCCTGCGCGAGACGCGAACTCACGCCCTTCCTGGAATACACCCAGGAAATCGCACCAACAACAGTGGAATGTTTTTCAAAGAAGAATAACCTTCAGCTAACCAAAAATGGTGAGATATTTGCACGCAGACAAGAATTTGGTTCCAATGTGACATATAACAATAATTTCATTTCGACAAAAGAAATGCAAGCAAATGCACCCACGTGGAACATTTCTCGCCAAACATGGCGACATGAAGAAATTTCCGTATCTTAAAGGCAATTGCCGAGTGATCAGGACACAACACGCATGTAACCACAAGCGGCGAACGCCAAAAGCTCTACTTGCCGGGCAATTTCATATACAGGAAAGCGTACGCTAGAGTTTGGATGAGCCAATTTTTTTCTGACCGCTGGCAGAACTGTGTAATTGAAAATTGGTCATAAACTTATCACACAAATCAAGGCATGTTGCCGTTTCTGTTGTTGCTGAATGAATTATACAATGAACATTGCAAACACACAATTATGAATTTCAAACACAAAACCAACATTTTGTTCTATTTTGCGCCCGGACTTACGGTATGACACTTACAAAACACACCGAAAATATGTTCACCAACCATTTGGAAAACGTAAAAAAACATCATAATTTGTGAAAATATTTAAATTGTTCAAGTCAGAATCAAAAATCAAAAAAATCAATCAATTTTTGCATCTAAAATAAATAAGAGAAGAAATCAAATCAGAAGAAAAAAATTCATATGGTCAATTGAAACGATTCTTGAAAAATATTTTTCATTTTTTTAATTGAATGTATTTTGATTTCATATTTACTGCAAATGGCAAAACACGTTCTTGCTCGTGTTCCTCCTGAATTCTTCATGCAATAAAAATTGCCACAAACACAATTTTGAAATTCAAAGCAAAACATTTTTGGTTTTTCTTTTGCACGTTGAATTTTGTTGGGTTTTTTTTGACATTTGCGGAAAAAGAAATGATAATTTTGGTTTCCAAAAGAAATATATTTACAGAAATTTTCTAAAAAGTAAAATAAAATAATTTGTCAACGTATCTCAAGAATTGTTTTCTCAGGGTCACGGAAATCCCAGACGTCCTAAAGCAAATCAATATTGAAAGTGGCTCAGGGCTGATAAAAAAATCCAAATCGAGAAGCAAATTAGGAAGAAAATGATTTCAATTAAAAATCAAAATCAAAAAAATCAATCAATTTTCGTATCAAAAAGACACATAAAAAAATCAAATCGGAAAAAATGAATTCATATCATAGAAATATGATCAATTGAAATAATTCTTGAATTTATTTTTTAATTATTTTTTTCATTTAATTTATTTTTAATCATTATAGATATTTTTCTATTATTTATTAAATTCTATATATCTTCAATGAGAAATCAAAACATTCATATCGGCATTGTATTAATCTTTTGAAATTTTTTTTTAATATATATATTCCAAAATATATATTCTCAATCATTTATATCCCATCATATGCAAAAATATATATCTTTGAACCAATTGATGAACAATATCAAAGATATTAATAATTTCTATTTTAATGAAATTATATAGTAGAAAACAATTTTGAATAAAGAATCGTTTTCAAATCAATATTCATTTAGATTTTAAATCTATTCATCATGAATTTACTTATTTTATATCAAAAAAAAGACTTTTATTTCAATTTTTTTTTTTTCGAAAAACTTTTTCTACGAACGACAAAATCGGAATTTCAGAAAATCACGTATTATACGATACTAAATAATTATATGAAAATGAATGTTTTATATAAAAAATAAGAATTTCGAATAAATCTTAATACAAAATTTATTTTTAGAAATCATTCTAATTGATCTAATCAATTTCAATATGAAAATTGATATTCTCATAGATACGTATATTTAAAAAAATATATATTCAAAGAAAGAATTATACATTTCCAGAATAATTATAAATCGTATGATATATATATATACTATATTCATATCAGAGCAACCTATATTTATAACTTTTCAAAATAAAATACAATACATTTTTTAATTTTCTAAATATTTTTGAAATTTAAAACTAATTCAACGAGGCAAATTTAGATATAAATACATTCCTTAAATCTACAATCATTATCTAAATAAAACAAACTCTGCATTTTTGCAAAGAAATCATTTAGAATTAAAGAGTCATTTCCTTACGAAATTATATCAGAATTTGAAAGAGCAATAGAATATTATAGAATTTATTAAATCGTATACAAGCAAATAGAAATTCTATTACGTTCAAAGAAATATATATTGAAAAATGCTAAAAACGAATCTTATCAGATTTAGAAAGAATCGAAATTATAGATTCATTAGAAATATCATTTGTCATTTTTCATCTTTATCTCCCAAAATTCATCCTTTAAATTTCTCCATATAATCTCCTCAAATTTTTCGCCGATATTTAGATACCATTAGATAAAATTATTCTCCCGAACCCACAGCCGATATCTCAAGCCTCCCCTTCAAGCTTTTTGAAATTCTCCCGCCGAAATCTCGTATACCGTATTCCTATTAAAATCCTTTTGTTAAACTTACTTTCCCGCATATTTCATTCAAATTTTCGCTATTACGATAAAATAACCTAATTATACTACGCTTCATATTCTCCACATTTTAAGGTTGCATTATTTCGCCCCAATCTCTTTTTGAAATTGGTTTCTTCAATAATAGTTCAATAATAGATTATATTACTTGCATAATATCTTTGAAATTCTTCATTCTCATGAGCAAAGAATTTTGCCCTAATATCTTTTAAATTTTCTATGCTTGCGGCTCAACATGAAATTCTTCAAATTCTCCGAATTTATACTTGCAATATTTCAGCCTTTACGAGTATACTATTTCGCCGTAATGCCTTTCAAACTCTCCGCTTACGATTGACTTATTTTGCCCTAATACTTTTATACTTCTCTGCTTTTGCGGTTAGATTATCTCGCCTATGTACTACCCTTCAAATCTCCCCTCTGACCTTTAGATTTTCTTTTCTAATACGCTTCAAATTCCTCCGCTTTTGCGGTTATCATATTTTGCTATTATACGTCCAAAATTCCCCGCTTTTACGGTTATACTATTTTGCTTTTGTAACCTGCAAATTCCCCGCTTTGCTTTTACGGCTATTTTGCAAGAGTGGGGTTGATATGCTTAGGGTTTGCTTTCTGAAGTTCCTTGAAAATCCTAAGCCCCCAAGCCCTAAACCCTTCTTACTGCCCGTTCTTCATCTTGTCATCTTTTCTGTTTTCTGTTCAGATACTATTTAAGCTACATGTCCTTCTACTTGTCTATCAAGATAATAAGAATATAGAAATTCGAAATTCACAATCTTATTTCCGTCGCCCCAACAGGGAAAATGACCGTGTCTGCATTCCCCGGCAATAGAACAGCAGAGCCCGAGCCATGACATTGAAGATCACTTGTGTGTTTTTCCCGATGATTTTTGATTTCATCAAAGCTCCATGCTGTTTATTTAAAGAGCTTCTTTGCGAAGGGATCTTCGATTGTAAGTGTAGACGTATGTACAGAACCTGTATATTATGTGGCAGTATCATTTCTCTGCGCCTGCAGCATGGCAAGTTGAAGGAGTAAACAATGCATCCCCGGATGAACCATTTCCAGTTCCTAAAGGCTGGCGTCCGCTGAAAGGAATATGTGTGAGCATTTTGCCATTTTGCAACAACAATTTAAATTCCAAACACCCAGCCCCTTGCTCTTACACGCTTTCTGACCCTTGCACCGGAAATATGCAGCAGACAGCAACTCGAAAACCCAAAGAAACAACTGGGGTGCGACTTCCGAATCCCGCCTTGCCTTCCTCAGATGTCGTAAATCTTGCCCAAATACCCTGTCCACAGGTCGTGCTTACTTGCTACACTTGGGCACTTACGTTGAGTGCTGGCCCCCAGCTCCGCAAGTTCCGTTCAATATCAACAGTCGACGCACAAGTTTTGGCATTTTCTTGATGCAGGCTAAAATACAAGAATGTGCCCCCACATTCTAGGTTGTGGTTTCACAGTTTGGCTTGCAAGTCTTCAAGCTTTCGGAGCTTCTTGCATAAACGCAATGCTTCATGTAGAACATGTTTCTTATGGGTTATCGGTGCATTAAGTCACGTAAATACTGAATGAAATCTTGTATCCTGGGTCATTGCATGGGGAGTTCTGCAGAAGGCAGTGGGCCTGCGGGCGTGACACATGCCCCGCCTTGGTGGATCGATGGCTTTCTTGCGCAACCCCTGGAACCCAATCCCTTTTCCTCTGCTAGAGCTCCAAATTTCACGTATCCTTCGAAATTGTTGAAGAAGTCAGAACCTTTCCCAAAATGAGAAATGCAAACCTGGGACCTTGCATCAGGGCGCCTAGACAAGTTCCGAGCAATGAGGTCGAAGCTCTTGAGTGAGGGCACCTGCGTGGAGCAGCTTTGGACCGCCCTAAACTAACTTGGCATGAGCAGCTAATTGCCTTCGCAACATTCCTCCTGGGTGCCAAGCCGCAGAAGGAAAAACGTGAGATCCATCAGACAAAGAAAAACCACTGGCATTTACTGAAATCTGCGGTTCTATTGCAGCGGTCGGTTTTTCATCTGCCACTGCAGCGCATTTTCAAACCTGGGTAGGATGATTTTGCGGCTTGGGAATCGATACTTACAACAAAAACAACAACACAAGTATCAATAGCACGAACATCCGCACTTTGGAATCAGACCCCAGCAGGTGCCAAGAAGACTCAGTGCTGGGGTCCATTCTTGAGGTGTGGCTCGAAAACGTTTCATTGGTTGAGGTTGCAATCAATTCTCTTCTTGTGTGTGTGTGACTTGGGCTCAAAATTCAAACAAGGTCTTGGGTTTTGGGTTTGACTGAAGAATCTGAACAGTGCATATTTTGATGTGTTTGTCTTTGCCATTGTCCATCAACCCATGGATCGCTCTTGAATGCCATCCCATTCGTGCAAAAATGCTCCTTGGTGCAAAACAGCAGCATATGCAGAACCAATAATTATGATCATGCTACTCGCACCGAACGTCAAACCAGAAGTCAATGCCGAACACCATAACCTGGACGCTTTAGGCTGAAATGCTCCATCGGCAAACTTCCAAGTTCCATGATAAGACAATGCCCTATGTGACTTAAATCAATATTATTCGGTGCCGTCTCAAAACCAAATGCAATTCCCGTTGAGGATGATTGTGTTCTTGTCTGGCAAACTGCCTGGATCCTAAAGACTTACCCCAGTGCAGGCTGCGCAGCGTTGGTCAGGTGGTTAAAATGCAACTCACCAGTTCGTCGGCAGCAAGCTGCTTCGCTCTCTTCCTGTAGTCAAGTTCAATTGCGTGGTCTGCACCCCAAGGTCCGCAGAATTTGGTTTTGTGATTTACTATCCAAAAAATTCAAAGCCCGTGCATTTTGTCAGGACATCTCAATGCAAGCAACTATCCCATAAGTGGTTGGGATGTCGGGTTGCAGGGCTCGGTGAGATTGACTAAGGATGCCAAACAAAGAGCAGCCATCTTGACTTGAGAACCTGTAACTACTCCACCGCAGGATATCTGCATAGCATTCTCTGAAGACGAATAAGATGGATGAAGTCAGGAAAGCTCTTGGCAACACTTTGTGGGTTTTTTATGTCGTTTAGACTAAGCTCTTGGCATGTAGGGTTGAGATGGGAGTGCATTCTGCAATTCCTTGGATGTACGCATTACATAAGGTGGTTCTTTTGTGGCACTTGCAAGTTCGTTTAATGCTTGCCACAAAATTTGCAAATTCCGTTTTGCAAAAATCCCAGACACTTTGCTACAACCTGCAATTCTTGATTTCTTTAACGTAGGCACCTTCGTCTTGAGAAATGTTCTCCAAAAACAACGCGTGCAAACCACTTCCGGCCCACTCGCTAGTTCTTATTGGGGAATGGAAGAATGCAAGAGAAATGGAAACCACTCCATTTTGTTGGAGGGGGGGGCGGTTATATACAAGTGCTGTTTGAAAGGGAACCATTCCTGAGTTCGAGTAGGAGAACATAGAAGCCTCCCACAATCGCCTTGAGGAGGCAGGTTTGCCTTTGCAGGCCGGCAAACGCGTGAGGACCGGAAGGCGCACGGAGCACACAATGCCGTCCTCCATCTCCTTGGCATTCCCGTTCTTTAGGAATACATCACCACGTGTAAGGGAAACTCAGAACAGTGTCGAAGGAAGAACAAGTCAAGGAGGCCATGACTTCTACCACTATTGAAGCCATTTCTTCGGTTGTGTGGTCATTGCAGTTGAGTACTACTACGATGAGGAACTTTGTCTCCGCGGTTGCTACTCTTGAAAGGGAGATATCAGGAAGATGATATTTGATGTTTCTTGCACGCTTAGTTCGTACCAGCATCTCCTTGCCACTTTTGCCAGCTTCGATCTCCCTGCACGTCATATTGCTGCTGGCCATACACCCTAAACCCCAAAGACTGATACCTCAACCAAGCCCCAAGCCAAGTGGCCGGGTTATCATTATTGGCCATCCCCAACGCAAGGCCACTGGCTCACAGATTTTCAACGATACTGTCAGGTTACTTTGTCTTTACATGTGCTGCCAAGGCGTCCTCGAAAGTGTAGATGATGTCATCCTTCGTTGGGCTTCTCCTTGACTTTGACCATTGTCAAGTGTAACTTGAAAATGAACGATGGCCCAATCTCACTACTGCCTCCTGGACCAAGTCTCGGACTGCTGAGCCCCTACAGCTGCACAGGATTTCAACTTCTGAGGTTCCAACATGAGTGTTATGGTAAGGGGGTATGATGCCGCGTGGCAAGAGCATCAGAACTACTACTGTCCTATGTCCTGATGGCCTGCGCATGCAGGCTAGTGTGCTCGGGACGTAGTGCTACAGAACAACATAAAGTGTGTAGCAGGCGCCAGGCACTCCATGAGTCACTTCCCATGCCCGAGGTGGCCAAATACGAGAATCCGCACAACAGGAATACCCAACCCTTTGGGCAAAATGCCAATGTGCCAGTGAACTTAGCACCACTGAACAATCAAGGAGCTGCAGAAGTTCGCGAAGGAGCCTGAGTGGATCGACCAGGTCACCCTAAACCTGGAAGCTCACCAAATATGATTTCATGCCAAGCTTTTCATATGCTAGCACCCAAATTTTAGCACCTTCAATCATGCCCTAAATCCTAGACCTCATCAATAAGCAGCATTGCTGGCAAACTCTGTTAGCCAGGTCCAGGGAAGCAATTGCACAAGGATTTTTGCGCTTGGAGGTTTGACACATCTACAAGTGCCCTGCAAGTCTGCTTCCCCGCTCATCATTCGTTTGGAATCTCGGCCAATGTATACGAATGTGTGACTTGCAATACGTAAGCCCCACCTGATTGAAGCCGGCAGACAGCTCAAATCCAGCGTGCTACCGTTGACGCAAAACAAAACCCCGCATGACCTCAGTACATGACCGCTGTAATACTATAATTCCCAATTTATACGGTCCTTATGGTCATGCAGGTATTTTCATATCTAACGTCTGAACACAGCTTTCAGTGTTGGAGTCTTTGGTTTCTTTATCCTGAAGGGTAACCAAAACAAACCACTCCTCTTTAGGGTTGCATGCGCGAAACTTGCTGCCCAGCTTTTGCAGGTACAGATTTGGAAAGGTCTTAAGCCAGGTACAGACAGAAATGAGCTGGCATCCGATAACAAAGCAACTTGCACTCCCAACTATGCTGGTCCAACGATGTGCTTTCTAACTTTTGACTTATTCCCGAACCCTTCAAAAAAGGCTGAAAATGCCTTCTTATGCTCCGGCCTCAGGAGCTAGGACCGCTGAAGAGTTTCGGGTTTTTTCCTGAACGTGTACGCCAATGCTTGCTCATGTGCCAGTCAGTGGCCTCTGTAGAATCCCTTCCGACCATGGCTTTGCTTGCACACGCTCGCCAGCCGTCCTGATTGCAACAAGGATCTACTTGCAAGGTCAGGGGGACTAAGGGTTAACACCCCCCATATTATAAGCCATATAATGACCCTAGATTTCCCATTTGTATCAAAGCGGCAAATTCCAGGATTTCAGGTATTTGGTTGGGATCTTGCATCGACAGCAATACTCGCATGAACATACATTGTGGAATCTCATGCCGCAGGAACACGAAGGAGGTGGCACGTGCTCCGGTCCTGCAACCCGACAACCCATGCCCAAGTTTCAAGTGAGTCCTAAATCCTAAATCCAAGATTTGCTTTATAGCGTCGCGGGCTTGCAAGTCAGTCCAGACCTTTGAGCTCAGTGCACCACTATGAGGATAAATCTGAGTTGATGTTAGAAACTTAAAATAAGGCACCATGATATGAGTACAAAATATATAACAGGGTCTCCTTTCCATATTCTAGTATCTTAAAAAAAGTTGCTTAACATCAACCCAGACATGAGTTTCATTTCACGCCTAAGAGTTGCTCTTGCCAAAGGCTATTCAAAGAGAATGTTCTTGATTGTTGCTGAACCCTGTGCGCCTTTCAGCTTCCGGCGAGTCTGCTGTGACTTCTGCAAGGAAAGCCTCGAGTTCCTTCCAAAGTCGCAGGGTTCACAAGCCTTGACTCTGAAGCTCCCATCCAAATACATCTAGCCAGTTGCGGCCAACGACCTCTTATACTTTTCGCGATATTGGGTTTTCAACATTTAGGTAACGATTAGAGAGTGGGGCTTGGTTTTGTGAATGTCTTTCCAAGTTGAGGCGAAGGCCTCAAGATTTCTGCTCGGGGCTGCCTGCTATCAGACCCCATCTTTTTTCAGCCTGAGCCCGGTCAGAATGGTAACTCGATATCTGAATCAGGTACACAAAGAATTGCAATTCTGTAGGCTCCTACGACCCCAGCACAACTTTAGTACAAACACGATCTGTACTATTGTACCCATACAGAGCTCGCGCACACTTCCGCTACACAGAATACCTGAGCACGGTTTGAGAGCAGTCGGTTCTGGCTGGAAACGCTAAACCCATCTTCGAACCTTGTACCCCTTGCAGGCCTAGCTTGTCTCTCACTCGGGGCCTTTGACGTGAGGAGTGCCCGCGCTGCGTTGGTTTTCGCCTTATCCGGAGCTGTCGGCTGGACGGCAATGATAGCCCAAAGGATGATGGCGATAATAACAGTGCCAGTGGCAGAAATCATGTTGCAATACCTAGCTGAAGATAGGATGTTCTATGCAGAAGCCGGAGGTCTTTGACAAACACTTGTGGTGGTGTGCTTGAAGGACAAGCATTGGGACATCTTACATTTATGGGCTCGCTTCTCCGGGTCCAGAGAATAAGGGGGGTTTAGGTTTACAAAGGTTTACGGATTCTCAAGGTCCTGGCCATCCTCGCAAATTTGAAGGCTCTGTTGTTTTCTGCCGCAGAATCACTCAAACGAGAATTCCACTGAAAGCTCTGTATCATCTCT